ATGAAACTTTTTGCTGACATATCTGAAACCACTTCAATGTGTATTCGAGTGATGGTGCATGTAAATAAGGGCTATGTACACCTTTTTGTGGATATCCACTTTTTCTCTAATAGTAACCGCTCCTGTTAAGTCGATGCCTAGAACTGTGAAAGGATTTCTTTGGACTACACAATCTCTTGGTAACTGACCTGCTAATTGTTTGGCAAGCTTAACTGTGAACTTTTTACACACCAGGCAAGTGTTAATAATTTTCTTTACTACCTGTCTTCCTTTAGGTATTCAAAATTTATTCCTGAATTTGGACAAAGTGGCCATGACTCCTGACTGGAATACTTTTATGTGTTCACTAAATATCGCTAGTTCGGTGAACTTTGACTTCGGCAGAATAATGGGATGTTTTTCATCATCTATTAATTCTGCTTGTTCCAAACGACCCCTGACATACAAAATACCTTTACTGTTCAGATATGGTCCTAAACTGTAAGGCTTCGAATCTGGTGTTATTAGAGTATTCCTCTCTAGTTGTTGAATATCCGAAAAATAATTCTCTCTCTGAATTTGTTTTATCCAGTACTCCTCAGCTTCTTGGATCTCCAATACAGTAAGAGGACCTTATTCACAGGTACATTTTCTTAGCTTGGCGACAAACCGCTTTACCCAAACAATAACTCTAAATAATTTTTCCAGACTGATGAATTTGATAATGTTTAATGCAGTTTCTCCTTCTGGAACCGTCACCTGAACATAAGTGCTTAAATGTTCCAAATTTTGAGTATCAGTTTCTACTTCTGCTCTTCAGAATGGTTGAAAGATCTTCAGAATCTTTCAACCATGATGGACCATGCCACCAAACATTATCTTTCACCAATGCATTTGCTGTTTCACCAAGAGTTAATTTATCTGCTGGGTTTTTCCGACCCTGGACAATATTTCCACTTATCAGGCAAAGTACAGTCTTGTATTCCTGAAACTCTATTTGACACAAACTGCTTCCACTCACGTGCTGACCCCTTTAGCTACCACAAACAAATTTCTGAGTTTGTCCACAGAACTAACTTACCTACCAATTCCTGAAACATTTTCAATAAATATTTCCCTAACCTAGCTGCAACTACAGCCCCCATCAATTTCAACCTAGGGAGGGACAACTTTTTTAACGGAGCTATCTTACTCTTCGACATTATAAACGACATACATACATCTCCTCTCTCATTCTTATATCTAAAATATGCCACTACTAACGCATCACTGAAAATATGAATTTCAACTGAATGACTTTTACTTAGAACTTCAGGAAAGTAGTACCTCTCTATTTTCAACACATTTAATTCCTCAATTTCAGCACACCACTTTATCCATTTGCACCGTAACTCCTTTGGCAACTCTGAATCCCACTCCAAACCTCTCTCCCATATTTCCTGCATCAGTCTCATAATTTGAACATCAAATGGAGAAATAAATTCGACTGGGTCAAACACCTTAACTGCTGTGCTTAACACCAATCTTTTACTATTTCTCAACGATTCTAAACTACTCAACAATGATATAATGTCTATTCTCAAACCATCCTCTTCTAAGTTCCACACCAAGCCTAACACTTTCAACTTACTATCTCTCTCAAACCTACTTCTTCACACAACCCTTTCTGAAGCCACAAGTCATATAGCTTTTTAGAATTGGTGTTTAGCTTTCTAAAATTGAAGCTCGCATCTTTCAAAATAAATACGGCCTCTGATGAAAGACTGAAAGCTGACTCTACACTTTCCCCTCCATAACACAAATCATCTGCATACAGCGAGCTATTTAACATCTCGACACAGTTTTTGTTTGTTTCTGCGTATTTCTTTAAATGATATTTGATCATTGCACTCAATAAAAACGGTAAACAATTACATCCAAATAATACTCTGTTCATTTGCATAATTTTAAAGTCCTCACTGTCATTATCAGGATACCACAGAAATTTTTAATATTGCCTATCTTCCCTTGCTATCTCAATCATCAAAAACACCTTTTCTATGTCACCGCAGAAACCAATTTTCAATTTTTGAAAGGCAAGAATGATATCCAAAATATTCGGATTTAGGTTTGGGCCCTTTTCTAAGGAATCGTTTAATGATAGCTTTCCTCTTTTGCAACTGCTGCAATTAAATACCATTCGAACTTGAGTGCTTTTTTTACCTTTACGGACCACTGCCTGAAATGGCATAAAATATCCCTCTCTCGTATCCTCACACTCTTAAATAATGTTGTTTTGTGTCTGAAATTTAATTATTTCCATAAACTGCCCCCTCACAAAGCTGTTACTTTTTAACTCTCGCTGTACCCTTTCGAACTGCCTTTTTGCTAAACCAAAAATTTTTTCCAAATGCTCTGGACTCCTATTCCACAACAACCGAGCCTCATACCTCCCATCTACATATTTCAAATCCTCTTCAAATTGTTTAATTATTTGCTTATCGGCAGTGCTCCTTTCCAAGGCGCACTCAGAAATTCCTAGACTTTCAATCTCCCAAAGCTGACGAATCTGTTCTGATATTTTTAATTCCTCTTCTGAATTGATGTGTATAAACAAACCAGTGGAGTCTGACCCTGAACTTAGCTTCTTACTCACTTCCCCCCATTCTACCACTCAACTTCCAACCGAATATGCTTTCATGCAATACTAAATAGTCTGTTAAACGATGTGTTTTCTCTGTTAAAATACAGTTCAAATAATCATTCCCAATTAAAATTTTTACCTCTGCTACTTCAATATCGCAGCTGTCAGATAAGTCAAATCCTTTTTTGCGTAACTTGTGTATGACCTCTGCAGATGGCCTGGGTAATGCATTGGAACATATGGTTTTTATTTCGAGTGCTTCGATGATTAGAGTGAACCCATTCTTATTTTTTAATTTAAGTATTTTTCCTTTTAAATTCTCTTACTGGAGGATTCGAAGATGAATTCTTAATCTTTCTCTACCAATAGTTGGTTAAATCACGTCACTAGGAATTTGCTTACTCAGTGTTTCAAGGAATTGTGAACTAACATTTGTCTCTTTTGCTGCGCTCGCAGTATTTTTTATGGATTTATTTTCTTGCACATTTGCATCACACAGGCTCTCAAAATGCAACATACATTTGCAAATATTACATTTAACTCACTTTGCCTTACAAAACGGTTTTTTGTGATGTTTTTTTAAACAGCACTTGCACTTAAATTGAGTCACTTTGTGTTTCTCTGAAATACTTAAGTCACAGTCTTTTGAGAGGTGAGATTTAAGACAAAAGTCGTACATATAATTTTCGACTGATGTATTAAGTGTCATCACTGACACCATTTTCTTTTTAATTGGAGCAACACTCTTACGATAGTTGTCAGTATTTCTTGCGCTTGTTATCGAAAGTGTTTGTTGATTAAAAGCCAGAGTTAATGACTTTTCGCTCACTTCTACTTCTCTCTTTAGAAACAACAATAAATCTGACACTCTTGACTCTGTGTGCCGACCTTTTGCTCCCTACTAAAATGTAACACTAAATCTTGCGGTATACACTTATATAAAATAGGAAGTAATAGATTGCCATAAGAATTAAAATTAATATCTAATGTCTCTAAACTTCCTGTTTGAACCCTTATTTCATCATATAGTTTTTTTAAACTGCATGCATCACTTGAACGATGTACTGGCTCCAAAGCTAGGAGGACGTTCATATGTGCGTTAACTAATATTTCTTTTTTCCCCAAATCTGTCAGTTAAGATTTCGATGGCTTTTTTATAGTTTTCTCCTATTAATGGCAATCCGCTTATAGCTTTTGCAGCTGAACCAGTGAGTAAAGATCTTAAATTGTTAAATTTCTCAACATCTTGAAGCGTATTGTTTTCATGAATGGCAGCTTTATACTGAGCCCAAAATTCAGTAAATTTACATAAATCACCAATGAAAGTTTCCAAAGTAATGCGAGGTAAATTAGTATTATAATTAGTTTTGATTTCCGAAACTAGTGAGGTTGTTCCGGTTTTACCACATTTTGAATATATCCATTGATTTTCGATTTACATCTAATGATTGATTTGCTGTATTCTAAACTATGTTCTACTTCTGTCTCTAATTCCTGAACAGTGCTTTGAGCATTAAGAACTTCATCATATTTTAACAACCCAATTTCTCTCTCGATAACACTGAAAGCGATTCTCACAACACTTCTAGGTTCGGATTCTCACTTTGCAATTCATCTTCCAATTTCCTTATTAATTTTGTTACACTTGTACGAACCGAACCTCTAATTTTTCTATTTCTCTAAACAGTTTCTTCAAAACTCATTTTCAAAGATAAATTGCATGCAGATAAAAATGAAATGACTCACCTTCTGGCCAAAACTTGTTGTATGTAATAATTTATTCAATATTCCATACGCGGCATCGGTGAATTTTGATATGTTGTGGTATCAAATAAAGACACTTACTTTCCTTTAACTAAAGCTATTTATGAATCAAAGACTATGTACAAGTATTATATACAGATTATATGATATCTAGTTCCTACCACTCTTGTCAATCTCTCAACTCTCTCTCGTTAAAACTTTTAATTAGCTACACATACGAGCAGAGCAGCGCCCTCTATCTCTTTTTACTACACAAGTAACAGTACGATTTTGCTCAGTTCAGCCCCTAATTTTGATGGAGATTACCCCCCAGGACTCCCACCCAAGGGTCTCCCACCCCTATTTCTATTTCTTTACCACCAACCTCTTGAGGGGACTTTTGGCTCCCCACATATTTAGAGTGCCCTCCTCTGCACAGACACTATACATTTACAAAGATCCAAGCCATCCCTGGGATTCAAACCCGGGCCCTTAGGTACAGCAGTCAGAGTCACTTGCAATTATCCCTCTCTCATTTCTACAAAATATGTATACATACCTTACAAAGAAAACAGCATGAATTAGATGAATCACAGAATATTTAATAGAAACCAATCACAAAATAAATAGAACTGCTATCCTTTGTAATACATACCTGTCTGCTTTGTAACCTTATTACAACAGGCACAAGAGTAAAGGGACTCAGATGATATCTAGCTGCCTTCCTGTTCACCTGCAACAAGTTTAAAAGCTTATTCATCAATAATAAATTAAAGAGGCATTGTTACTTTTAGGAAAAATAAATCCGCAATTCAATGGCTCACCCCCATTAGATGATGAAATAACAAATATTGCTTATTAAATTATTAGCTGCTAATTATTTACTGAATGTTACAAATGTTTTCATTAGGCAATTATTATTTCATAAATGTTATGCATACCAAATAACTTCATGTTACACCCAAATTTTATCAGTGTAAAATTTTCCTTTATGTACAAAATTTAAAAAAAAATTGTTATATTCTTCCATTATGTCTAATTGCTTTCAAACTTTATTATAAAAATACATAAATATGTACTTTGTTAGTATCAAAAACAGATGCTCACCAATAACTACTCTGGAGGTGACCAGAAACTATTCCAATCATTGGGTTATTCCTAATTACAAAAATGATTTACAAATTCATCGTACAATAAAAATTCTTATTCAACACCAACTGCAAAACATTAACTTCCATATCTGAGTTAAAATGACATAACAAATCACGATTATTGGAGCTAAGAATTCTTAATTATCAAGGCAAGAAGAATCAGTGTAATAAATATTCATAGATTTGTGAGACTAATTTCAAAGTTTTAAATATAGAACCATTTTCTTTGCAAACTGCAGAAGTGCAAATGACTAAAGAGAAGACTGTTCTCAAATGATAAAAATAAGTCTACTGGCACCATCTATTAATGAAAAGGAAAACAACTATGAAATAATTTTCTTAAAATCTGGGGTAAAGACGGATTGGAATTGGGATTGTAAAACTAGAACTGAAAGATTTTTATGTGAAACCCCTCTAGAAAATCTAATTTATTGATGGGTGTTTTTTGAATAATTCTGACTGCAGTAAGATAAAAAACGTGATTTTATGACCAACAGAACATTTATGTGTTTCTTTTTCTTACCATGTGCTTCATGTTCCTTAGCATGAAATTTTAAAGCTGTCTTAGTTTAACAAATGTAAATTAAACCACACTGTAAGGAATCTTGATTTATAAATATGTATGATATAACAAAATACAATAGCTGCTTTAAGAAAATAGTTGGTGACCTCAAAATTAACTATTCTAGATTTTATGCTCTCCCCCTAAATTCATCTGCTCTCCCAATTCAGTAATTCTTTCTATGTTATGTAACGCTTAATGCTGTTACCTCTTGTCCAATAAAAATAATTGTAAACCAAAACCCTTTTAACTGAAACTGAAACTTTTGACTCCCTCTCTTCTTCTTTGAATTGCTGTGATCCTTTTCACTTACACTTTCCTCCTGGTAAGACACTCCTCATCCATGCTGCTGCTTTTGCTTAAGATGATGATGTACTTTAAAATCAGTGTACATGGAAATTATTGTATTCTCACTATGATTAAAAAATATCTTGTCTGTAAAAAGATGATATTTGATATGGGAAAATAAAGATTGGTGATCTGTAGAAATCTAGTTTTATTTTCTTCATCAGCTATGATGGATATGTCGAAAGTTGTTAAAAGTTCCAATGTTTTCTTCTACGCATTAAATTATGACATATATATAACATAAAAAATAAATCAAAATTATAATTTAAACTAGTGGTAAGCCCATAATTCCCTCTTTTTATTCTAGAAATTGTAATAACTTTTCCATCTTGCATGACTTGAATAACACGGATGAGGCAAGTAATTCAAACTTGAACTCAAAATTTCGAGAAGTGAAACTTTTCTATTTAAGCCAAAATGCTACCTTGGTAAGCCTCCTGAAAAATAACTGCACAGTTTTAGGCTTCAGTTCTCTTGCTGTCAAGACTCTATTTCACTCCCTTTGCTCTGTCTTGCTGCTACCAACATTATCTAAAATATGATACTCTGTATAAAATCGTAGGATGCATATTATGCCCAAGATCACGTGCAGTGAAAAATATGTTTCAATAATTAGTTTGTATAAACCAATAAAAATTATATTCAATTAGGCCACATCTGTCTACAAGTCTCCCCTTCCTGTCACCTTTCTAACTACACAGTAGAGTCTCCCCAGGATACAATGCAGAGTACCATCGTCCATCTGTTGCAGCTTACTTCAAGTCATCTTATTATATATATATATTCATACTCCACGAATTCATATCTGGAATGGAATTGCAAATTTTATTGAGAGAAGAGAAAACAACCAAATAATTGAAATTTTTACTGAGAGAATCAAAATATATCCCGTTTCGTATGAGAAACAAAGTAAATAAAAATAAATATATCACACATGTGGAAAACTGATACAGCTCACTAAAATTTATCCCCAATGGAACAAACCAGAAAAACAAAATATCCCTTTAAAAATAAAATGCCTGAGTAAGAGACAGGTGATTCCGTAATAGCAAAAACAGCATCCTCACGATTAACCAGATGAAATTATTAGCAATTATTGATCCTGTGCGGAAGATCATGCCATAATCTTTGGAACTAGGCAGTTAATTTACCAATATCCCGAGACAGCTGCAGTTGCCTTTCAAGCATGTCCCAAATGTGTGCTATTGGCGAGGTCTGGTGACCTGGCAGACTACGGAAGTATATCGTATCCCTTTAATATATGGTTGGAGAGTCGTGCAGTATGTTGATGAGATGAGCAGTGTCTTGCTGATAAATGGCACCTGTGCGACTTGACAGCATACGCAGTACAACCTGTGTTAAAATGTCCACATAAGTGCCAGCCGTCATACTGCCTTTAAGGAGGACTAGAGATGATTATGTATCCCAAAGCTACCCAAAGTGTCACACCTTGTATAATCGATGTATGCCACTCGACAACTAATGCAGGATCGGATCGCTGACCTGACCGCCTTCACATGCGTATGCATTGGTCATCAGCACCAAGACTGAATCGGGATTCATCGCTGAAGATCACATGCCTTCAGTCGGCCACACTCCAGCTTGCCTGAGTTTGGCAATAATTCAGTCAATACTGTCTACGACGTGAAGTCAGTAGTAGGTGTCTTAATGAACATGAGTATCATATAGCAGCATCGGCCAGTCCTTACCAAACGGTTTCCCTTGATACTTGCCTGGAAGCTGGTAAATGCAGTCGAATCGATGTTAGCGATGTTGTTGGTGCGGAAGTAGCCACTCTTATGGTCCTTGCCCTCGTTTGCGTTTCTGTGGCATCCTGACCCTCCACAACGTTAGATCCATGATCTAATGTCACCAACACCGAGCAACTACCATATAGTTCTGTCTGAAGTGGCAGCTGATATGCCTGTTCGACCAACCTGCTATACACACTTCTTCTCAAAGTCCAACAACTGCTCATATTGTGTAGCCGGTTACATCTCAGAGGCATTTTTAGTCACAATATCGTTCATCTAAGTCGACAGATTTGTCTGAACAGCCTTACAACACGAGAAATTATGCTTTTAAATTCAACCAACTGCATATCTCATATGCACATAGCGCGCTTACCCTTGTCTCATTGTCATTGGCATCAAAATTTAAACCATTTGTATATCTCTTACCAGACTACATTCCTACCGAGTTTCGTGACTATTGCTTGATTTCTTCTGGGTGCATGCATTTTTTTGTGATAGAGTATATTTGCATCATTGAAGCAAAATTATAGATCAAGTTCGAATCATTCATAATCAAAAATGAGATGCATGGACCCTTGGAAAAGTCAAGAGTTAACATGATTCAATACACATCAAGCTCAGTACTGATTATATTTAGTTATAAAAGGTAACCCTGGAACAGGGGTGTAAAGACTGGTTGCCTCCACAAAATACTTCTTTAACTCCTCAAATGCTTCGTCGTTCCGAAAGTCATGCCTTTCGGGCTACGCAACACTGCTGCAACATTTCAGAGTGATGAATCAAACACTTACTAAATACAAAGACTTCCCTCCAGCCTATATTGATGACACAGCAGTTTATTCAGAGAGCTAGAATCAACATTTAGTAATTCTAGAAATCATTTTTTCAAAATTATTAGAACGAAAGTTTTTGGTAAATCTCAAGAAATGTTCCTTTAGTAAAACTCACAGTAAGTATCTATGACAAACAATTGGTTCCGTCAGTCAACATACTGATCCAGAAATCAGCTTTTCCTCAAAGAAACAACTAAAAAGTTTTCTATGCCTACGATTACATTCCACATTGTGAAGAAGCAGCTTAATCATTAACCAAAAAAAAAAAAAAAACCTTTTACCAAAAGAAGAAGTCCTGAGGAGCTGTGCTGGACAGAAAAAACCGACGAAGCATTTGAGGAGTTAAAGAAGTATTTTGTGGAGGCAACCAGTCTTTACACCCCTGTTCCAGGGTTACCTTTTATAACTAAATATAATCCATCCTCAACAGATATTGGTGCTTGCTTATCTGAACGCAAGGACAGAAAGATGTACTAATTAATTATGCTAGCCAAAAATATAACCAAAGAATAACAGGCTTGGTCAACCATCGAAGGGAAGCCTTTTATTATATAATAATATTTATATTTGGATTTATAATTAAATATTATTATATAATTAAAGGCTTCCCTTTCGATGTAATTTGGAGCCTGCAAAAGTTCGAAAGATGGATCTTCGAATCACCCATGGTACTGATTACTGATCACAACCCACTAACTTTTATTACAAAGAATGCACAGCAATCTTCTAAGCTACAGAGATAGGCTCTAGCATTACAGAAATATGATAAAATGATTTCGCAGGTGCTAAGTTCAACAATACTGATGCGTTGTACAGACTGGAGACCATCGTGTGACTAGTGTGAAAGCAAAGAACTCTTCATAGTCATTTGTAAGCTCTTAGGATTATTTTTTGTGCTTTCTTTTACATCTACAGGGGTGTTTGTGGGACCCCAAAAAATCCCCTGAAACTTTTACGGACTTACTACCGACATTTTGGAGTTTCAAGAAGGGGGGAGGTGAGAAAAATGAAAAATTACAATTATGAAGTATTGAATGACCTAATTATAAAAGTTCAATGAATTACTTTTTTTTGCAAAATTAATA